CGGGGTTCAGGCTTCCGGGGCGGGGAGTGAGAGAGGCCTCGGGCAGTGAGGTTCAGGGCGGAAGAAAGCGGCCTGGGAAGAGGCGGAGGAGGGAGCGACAGGGAATGATAATGAGAGAGAAATCATTTATTCCTCACTTTCTCACTTGGCGTGTTTTTAAGGCACTTTGCTAAGCGCTTTATTCAGTCTCTCGATCTTCATTGCAGCCCTGGAAGTACCATTTAACCTTATTTTTCAGAGTAGAAAACTGACAGCAAGGTGGAAAGAAGAAAGGCCTTTATCTTAGGGCTTCGTGCTTCTCATTTCCGAAATCAGACTCTGGACAGACTCCTTGTTTCTCAAACCAGGGCTAGTACGTCAGGAGTTCAGAATGCACGGGATACATGGCATGGTTTTAGCTCAAAATTCTTTGTAGAAAAACACTTTCTATTAAGCATAGATCTATTTTAGAGTAAAATGCCTCCCCAATCTATTTTGAAGAAAAAAAGCAAGACACTTGGAAAAAATGCCTTCCAGATATGGCCAAATGCCCCTGGATTCACCTTCAGCCTCCTGGTCCCACCCTGCTTTGGTGGCAAGGTTTGAGGTGCAGGACCCAACACACGCTGCCTAAGGATCAGTCGGTGCCTCTGGGCTGGGCCTCGTGGGGACAGAGTGCGCAGACAGCTGCCCTCTGCTGTTGCGGGTTCTCCTCCGTTCTTCCTCCTATTTATGGCATTCTCCTAAACCTGTGGTCTCTGCTTCCTCAAGTGACATGCTCTCCAAACTTTGGCCTACACACGGTGCCCATTTGATGTATCCACACAAGTCCATGCACCTGCCGTTGACTGACTCCAGTCTAGGTGAGTCTCAAATTCTGGAAAGAGAGAGTCTGACTGGTCACTGCTCAGCTAATGGATTGTTGTCATGGAGTTCACACAGATGCCAGGGGGGCCATTCTCAGGGAGGGATAGAGGCCAAGCAGGGACCCTCAAAGGGTTTCTATCCCCTGCATCAAGTATACTTAATCACTCAAAGGCCAGGGAAACTGAGGCCTGTGGCAAAATTGCCATAAGATGCAACAGTGTTTGTTGCCCTGGACATTTGGAACAGCACAGCTACAGAAAATAAAAATTTCTGCATGGCCTCTGATGAAGACAGAATTCTGATTGCCAAGCAGGAGCGGTGAGAATACGGAGTTCTCTGAGAATTCTACACTGGATCAACATTTAGTTTGTATAATATTAAAAATTGCTTTTATTTTATTTTTGTTTTTGCGTTTTGACCTTATGGATTAGAGGACTTAGCTGTCTCTGGCTTTGAAGCCAATGATCTGCAAAGCAGAGCCCCAGGGTCCTTACTGTGCTGATTCTTCTGTGTGCCCCTTCAAAGCCCTCTTAAGGGAGGCATCTATAAATAAGACTGTGCATGCAGGGAAGTTACCATGACCTCCATGCGCTGGGATGTAGGAGTTAGGGACCAGAGCCCTCCTCAGGATTAAAAAGTACACAGGTCCTGGACTGCTGGAGGACAGAATGACCTGCCGGAAGCCCTCCAGCCATTTGTGCAGGGCATGGGCCAACACTCAGGCTTTTTCTAGAGTCCACACTGGGCAAGGACAGTGAGGCAGAGGGGAGACAAGATGACATTCAGAGTCAGGATACGCCTGTTGTCTCTGAGCATTTTTTACCTCCTAAATTGCAGATCCATCATTTCACTTAATGTGTGTGGTGGTTGTT